TATATGTGTATCGATCGATCGATCGATCTATCTATCTATCTATCCATCGATCTATCTAATCTATCCTATCCTATCCTATCTATATAATGGATAACCAGATAACCCTTCCTACACAATGACTTGTTTGTGATAATCACATCATCCCCAGAACCTCAACTGGCATTTGTCCAGAGCTTTCCACAGTAAGCCCTGGACAAAAAGAATGAGCAAGAACAACAGCAAGATACACCTTGGAAGAGGCGTTGGAAAAATCAGACGTCTATCACAGGGGAATCAAACTGACTTTACCGGAATGATAACTCGAATGATTGGGTACATCTTGTAGATCAGGAGTATGTTTAATAATTACATTTTAATACCATGTAATGTTAGTAAAGCAATAAGGCAATAATATACCATCCATGGTTTGATATATTTGTTTTACCATTCATCAATTGGTAGCATTGAGGGATGATTTACCCTTGTTTTTTTCTAACATGAACAACATTCACCATCTTGCTCGTGCACACTTGCCGGGCTTAACTTCAAGGTATAAGCGGGCACATGTAAGCGGGAATTGGCCATAGGAATGTCTAGTGGATCGTAAATAGATATGGTCGCGAACACTGACAAAGAAGTCTTGCGCAATTTTGACATGGTTCTCACATGAGGGTCCACTTGGAAATCACACAGCTCCTTCCACACAACACAGAAACCTGGTGGGTACTTGATAGGTTCGGGGTACACCAAGTTTGACCCAAATCAGATCTTATTCAGCGATGCAATCACCTTCGATTGGGGATGTTTAAATCCCAAGACATGGGGAAAACTTACCACACGTCCTTCCAAATCAGCCCTTTCAAAAAATGAAGAACACAGACCCCAACAATTATCTGAAAGTGTAGAAGACCTGGTGATTGATCATGAAACTACCCTATACTTCTGATGGATTTACCCTCTGGTAAACGTTTACATAACTATGGAAAGATCCACAATTTCCCAAACCATCAAAAGCCGGCATAAATGACAAAATTTGGGGTATGTTGGGCAATCGCCAAATTTTCTCACAAGCAAAACCGAATAACAACACCAGCACGCCTGCGCCCGGCAAAGTACCTCCACCTTGCTCACGTGGAACCGGAGCTGCCACCCGCTGCGTCTCAGAACGCTGAAAGATTTCTCCACCAGGACATCCTTTCGGATACCCATCTCTGCACAAAAACCGTCGAGCCTCAGACGAGCATGAAATCCATTCCGATCTGGAGCAGAGGAAATGCAAGACTGAAGGGAAGCAAGTCTGAGAAATCTGTTGGCTGGCAGCCGCGAGAGCCCTCCTTGCTCGACGAAGAAGGCCAGGTATAGCCATTCTTCGCCGAGCCCTTTGGCTCCGCACGCCCGCGCGCAGCAGAAATCCCACAAGGCATCCTCCGTTGACACGCCAAGCCAAGAGGCGGCATTTGCTATGTGGGCCATTACCAGAGGGTAAACCTCCATGTTACTATGGTTTTCCTATGGTTTTCCCATTAAAACCTCCATTGACCAGAGGCTATCACCAACGATCCATCCCGCCGAAAAAAAAAAACAGTCCAAACCCCTCCAGGGCTCCAGGCCGCAACAACGCGTTGCAGCAACGGCGGCATCCACTTCGGGACCTCCGCACCGTGCGGAGCCAACAAAAACCACACGACATGGCGGGCGTTTTTGGGATCCTGGCACTCGAAAAGTTGCATATTCTCTTTTGGGGGTCAAGAATCATAGTTAGAACCACATGTTTATATGTAAAACTGTATATTGTCGAAGGAAGTTTAGAAGTCAAACTTCCGACAATATGGAGAGATGAAAAGCAGAGCAGGGCAGAGGCAGAGAGAAGAGGAAGATTAGCAGAGAGAAGATCAGAAGAGAAAGAGTAAGAAGACAGAAGATACAGATGCGCGAAAAGGTAGGAAAGTCGGGAAACACTGTGTTTTTCCAATGATTTGTGGCTCCGGAGGGTCGAAAAGTAGGCTCGCTAAAGCGGCGGGTGCGGAGCCAGCTGGCCAGAGGAGCGATGAAAAATTGCACGCTGTTGTGGCACGAAGCACATTTCCAAGTGAAAATGTACAAAACACACCATTCTCGGACCACTTTTGGAAGTTGAGATGTCAAAAATGTGCACGCTGTTGTGGCGCGAAGCGCATTTCCAAGTCAAAAGTGTTAAAAACTGGCGGTCTCGGACCACTTTTGGAAGTTGCGATGTCGAAAAAGTGCACGCCATTGTGGCGCGAAGCACATTTCCAAGCCAAAATGTACAAAACACCACATGTTCGCGCCACTTTTGGAGGTTCAGATGTCGAAAAAGTGCACGCCGTTGTGGCGCGAAGCACATTTCGAAGTCAAAATGTCCAAAACACCTCAGCTCCGGACCACTTTTGGAAGTTGAGATGTTGAGAAAGTGCACGTCGTTGTGGCGCGAAGCACATGTCCAAGTCAAAATGTCCAAAACACCAGGGGTTCGGACCATTTTTATTTGGAGGTTCAGATGTTGAAAAAGTGTACGCCGTTGTGGCGCGAAACACATTTCGAAGTCAAAATGTACAAAGCACACCATGCTCGGACCACTTTTGGAGGTTCAGATGTCGAAAAAGTGTACGCCGTTGTGGCGCGAAGCACATTTCGAAGTCAAAATGTACAAAACACACCATGCTCGGACAACTTTTGGAGGTTCAGATGTCGAAAAAGTGTACGCCGTTGTGGCGCGAAGCACATTTCGAAGTCAAAATGTCCAAAACACTAGGGGTTCGGACAATTTTTGGAGGTTCAGATGTTGAAAAAGTGTAAGCCGTTGTGGCGCGAAGCACACTTCGAAGTCACACTACATTACAGTACATTACACTCCAGTACACTCCACTACACTAAATTACACTACACCACACTACATTATACTGAATGACACTGCAACACAGATAGACAGGTAGACAGCTAGACAGATGAAAGAGAGATAGATAGATAGATAGATAGATAGATAGATAGATAGATAGGGTAATTGAATGAAAGAAAGAGAGAGATAGATAGATCGATAGATAGATAGATACATAGAAAATAGATAGGTAGGTAGGTAGATAGTCAGAAAAAGAGAGCGAAAGAAAGGAGACCTCAAGCACCTTTCGGTCCATCAGTGGCTTCGCTCTGCCATCCCTGATTCACAACAACCAACCTCTCCTATAGGTTTCCTATTTTTGAAACTTCCGCCACCGCCTTGTGCGGTACTACTGGTACATATATGCATGTCTAGATACATGCACAGTAACATAAAATGTGGCATGGGATAGTAAGCATGGTTTACAACCATACTTACAACCATGGTTACAACCCTAGTAACATTTAGCAACCATTCTTAAACACACCACCTATGGAACGAATCCCTCTGGTAATCGAACGGCTGGAACATTTTCCGAACGAAATTGGAGGTTTCTAGCTGCAGCTATGGGAATCTCATCTATAAATCAGTGAGTTTCGATTACCACGTTGGATTACCCGAGGGTATCCATTAGACCCTGAGCATCGGATATTGATTACAATCAATAAACTTCCTATTTTTCTAATTGATTTTGATTCAATTGATTTTTTTGATTTAATTGATTTTTTAGTTTTGAATCAATTGATTTTTGTATTGATTTTTTTTTGATTTGGGATATTGATTTTGGGGGTTGAAACTTTTGATCCTTTTTTTTGGTGGCTGCCAGCTGTTTTGGCTCTCAGCTGTTGGAAAAAAGATTTGGAAAAATTACTTTACTTCGTGTGATCCCCACCATGACATTTATACATTTTCTTACTGGCAAATCTTCTGGCATTCTATCTGACATATCTTCTGACATTCTATTTGGCATTCTATCTGGCATATCTTCTGGCATATGATCTGGCATTTCTATCTGGCATATCTTCTGGCATTCTATCTGGCAAATCTTCTGGCATTCTATCTGGCATATCTTCTGGCACTCTATCTGACATATCTTCTGGCATTCTATCTGGCATATCTTCTGGCATATATTCTGACATATCTTCTGGCATTCTATCTGACATATCTTCTGGCATATATTCTGACATTTCTTCTGGCATATCTTCTGGCATATCTTCTGGCATATCTTCTGACATATCTATCTGGCATATCTTCTGGCATATTTTCTGGCATTCTATCTGGCAAATCTTCTGCATTCTATCTGGCATTCTATCTGGCATATCTTCTGGCATATTATCTGGCATTCTATCTGGCATATCTTCTGGCATATCTTCTGGCATATCTTCTGACATTCTTTCTGACATTCTTTCTACCTTTCTTCTGCACATTCTTTGTCCCATATCTTCCTACATGAGGTCCGGCAGGGAACACTTGGCGTGGATACTCGCGGTTGAGGTCCGGCAGGGAACACTGGGCGTGGATGGTCGTAGTTGAGGTCCGGCAGGGAACACTGGGCGAGGATGGTCGTGGTTGAGGTCCGGCAGGGAACACTGGGCGTGGATACTCGCGGTTGAGGTCCGGCAGGGAACACTGGGCGAGGATGGTCGTGGTTGAGGTCCGGCAGGGAACACTGGGCGTGGATGGTCGTGGTTGAGGTCCGGCAGAGAACACTGTGGATCGCGGGTCGCAGTTGAGCAAGGACGACGAGGACGACGAGGACGACAAGGACAACAAGGATGACAAGGAGGACGAGGAGGAGGAGGAGAGGAGGACGAGGCAGGAGGAGGCGGAGGAGGAGGAGGAGGAGGAGGCAACTGACATAAAATCTAACAACCCTCACCTGGCAGGTGGGGAAATAGGTAACTCCTGCCTTGAAAAAGGCTTGTGCCTTGAAAAAGGAGACTGCCTTGAAAAAGGAGAGTGCCTTGAACAAGGCATGGCTGGCAAAGGGGGTGCCAGACATTTCAGCAAACCTCTGATAGACCAGGGGTTGCTGTACCAAGTGTTTGCTGAACACAAGGACTTGGTATTTAATTTGAAAGGGTATGAATTGTTGTCGAGAAATTCTGCCCACAACCCCTTAGCCATGCATCAAGTTTTGCCCCTCATTGATGCTTTGGTAGACTTGGAAAGTTCAGCTGAAATTCATGCCCAGACAATGAGATCAGCTTTGCTGCATCTCATTACTAGGGAGCCTGAGCTGAATACCAGCGACTACAATGGTAGTGTCTTTGTAAATCTGAGAGCTGACAGGATTTCAGTGGTACTGCACCATGTCAGAAGGGTGGTAAGGGCAAAGACAATGCCCAGCAGTGTCATTGGTAGCCTGACAGCTACTCAATTTAAAGAGCTCAACAAAACCTTGAAAAAGGTGTTGAGAGATGTGCCCCAGGAAGATGCCTTGAAAAAGGATGAGGGCCAGAAAGCTGGAAGCAGTAAAGACACCTTGAAAAAGGTGCCGCAGGGAAATGCCTTGAAAAAGGATGATGGCCAGAAAGCTGGAAGCAAAGAGACCTTGAAAAAAGTAAGCACAGAGAAAAAGAACACAGTCTTGAAAAAGGTAAAGAAGGAAATTTTGAAGAAAAAAGAGAGAACCTTGAAAAAGGGCGACAGTCCCTTGAAAAAGGAAGCTGTAGAAAATGCCATTGTGCCAAAGGGAAGGTCATTAAAGGCCAGAGTGAGTGATGTCTCCCTGGACTCTGATGGCTTCCCCAAGGTTTTGGCCAGCCCACAGAAAGGGGCAAGCCCACCAAGGTTGTGGAAGAAAAAGAGGGGCAACTTTCAGCCACAAGCTTCTGCAGAAGTGCATGGTGGTTTGAAAGATGCCATGGGTGTCTTGAAAAAGCCATCTGCCAAACAGGCCTCCTTGAAAAAGGAAAAGTCTAAAAAACCAGCCTTGAAAAAGGTTGCTAAGAATGAAGCCTTGAAAAAGGTTGAAGCCACAGAGAGAAAGCCTTGGGAAAAAAAAATTAAGACCACTGCCAAGAACCCTGAAAGGTCTTATTTGACTGGCAGGCATTCCAAAGATCAAGACAAATTCTTGATTGTAGAGGTGACAAAGAAGATGAGCCTCCAATATAGGTGGATCATCGACAGGATCAAAGACTCACTGGAGAAGGAGCACATCACCAAGCATGAGGCCATCCAGATGAGAGAAAGTTTGTGTTTTCAGCACCCTTGAAAAAGGCAGCCACAAACACAAAAACCTTGAAAAAGGTATGGATCCTGGCAGCACCCTTGAAAAAGGGTACCTCTGCATGTACATAGCTCCCTTGAAAAAGGGTACCTCTGCATGTACATAGCTCCCTAGGTATGTACATAGTTTTGGATATATGAGGTGTGTTGAAAAAATGGTCCCACCAAAGGGGAATGTGTTTTAACACCTAAATGGGTTACCCCTGAAAGTTGGAAGTTTTGTCTTTGTTTCTGTTGGTTAGTAACCTGTATGTGCCCAGCAGCTAACTTGGCTCATGCATGACCATGTCACTGCACAAACACACATGCACACTTACACAGTTCAACAGCACAGCACATGTATGGTAGGACAATAGATGCACACACACAACTGCACAGACACAACTGCACATCACATGCATGTATGGTAGGACATATAGCCACAACATAGTCACAGCATAGCCACAGCACTGCATAGTCACAGCACTACAACCCACAGCTTAGCCTTTTGTAGTTGTAGCTGTGCCCACACAGAGTTTGAAAAAACTCTTTTCAGGTTTGAAAAAACCAAACCACACAGAGTTTGGAAAAACTTCAGGTTTGAAAAAACCAACCCACCTGGGGTGGTCCACTTGAAAAAGTGATGCCCCCCAAGAAGGATTCACTTGAAAAAGTGAACAACAAGGGAAGGCAGGCCATGAGTGGCACTACTTCCCAAGCCAGGAGGCAGGCCAGGGAGTTTATGCAATGGACTTCCCTGGCCATGACAGACCCCCCTGCTACCTCCTCAGCTTCTCTGCAGGAGAAGGAAGATGCCTTGAAAAAGGCATTGGCTTCTGTGGAGAAGCAGAAAGCTGAAGCTCTTGAAAAAGAGCATGAGGAGGAGGAAGCCTTGAAAAAGGTTGAGCATGCCCTGGATGCCCATTCTGCCAGAGGGAAGAATGGGCCCAGGAGCAGGTCTCTGAGCAGGGCTTGCCTCACTAGAAGGGAGGAGGTGGCAAAGAAGGAAGCCCTCAGGGAGAGACTGAGTGTCCACCTGGAGAGGCTGAAGGAGGCCAGTGACCCCAGCAAAAGGGCAGCCTCCAGACCTCCCTTGAAAAAGGGAAAGAACCAGACCCAGGCCTCCAGCTCCTTGAAAAAGGAGGCAGAGAAGCCATGTGTGGTGCTGGACTGGCACAATACCCTTGAAAAAGGGAACAAGATGCCAGAAGCCAGCCTGCAGGCTCTGGAGCAGCTGCTGACTGTTGTGGATGTCCACATCATCAGCTGGGTGGGATCTGAGGACAGGTTTGAAAAAACCATGGACCAGATCCCAAAGCTGCTGGGCTCCACCTTGAAAAAGGTGAAGTCCTACAGGTGCACCTATGCCTTCACTGGGCATGACTCCAAAGTGGACTGGGCATGCCACTTTGGAGCCCTGTGCATCATGGATGACAACTCAGAGGTCATCAATGAGGCCAACTCCTGGGGCCTCAAGGCCTACCAAATTGGTAGGGGGGGCTACTGGCAGCTTGCAGATGCAGTAGCTCAGGTCATGGTGGACCTGCCTGGTCTGAAGCCATGGACTGAGGAGGAAGAGCCTTGAAAAAGGCATCCTCCCCCCCCACCCTTGAAAAAGGGGCCAAACCATGATGCACAAAAGCCTTGAAAAAGGCTCAAAACCCTTGAAAAAGGGTTAATTCATTTGCATGCATGTTTCACCTAGTGTGTTGGCCACCCCCCCAATGAAAAAAACAAAGTAGTATAAATCAACTAACCAAAGTGTTCTAAATTGTTTAAATGGTTCATTGTTGTTTCTGTTGAAATGGGGGGGTGGCCAATTTTTGCACAGCAGAGACCTGCCTGGCCAACATGGCCAGGCAAATTTATGGTGAAAACAATAAATAATTAAATAAATATGATTAAATATATATATATATTTAATTAATACAGAAAATATAATGTAAGTATTTAAATTTATTTATTTAGATTTTTGAAACTATAAATTTATATTTTTTGAATATATATTTTTTAAAAACAATATAATTATATATAGTTTCAAATATTTTTCTTAAAGTATTTAGTTTTATTTTTTGAATATATTAAAGAATTTATATATAAAGAAAATTGTTTAATAATTAAGAACTATAATAAGGGTTTAGGGTTTTAGGGTTCAGGGATAAGAATACCTTGTAAAATAAACATACATGTATATCTCTATATTTGTTTTTAAAAAAAACTATCTTTCAATAAAAAAACATTGACCTCCACAGTTGAAGGTTTTTTTTTTTGAAAGGGCCTACCTTCACTGAACTCTCCAGTTCAAATTTCTTTGTTGGAAGGACCCAAATTCACTCAACTCCCCAAATTTTTTTTGAAAGGACCCAGCTTCACTTCACTGAACTCCCCAGTTGAAGTTTTTTTTTGGAAGGACTTCACTTCACTGAACTCCCCAGTTCAAAATTTCATTTGGAAGTACTTCACTTCACTGAACTCCCCAGTTGAAGTTTTTTTTGGAAGTACTTCACTTCACTGAACTCCCCAGTTGAAGTTTTTTTGGAATGATTTCACTTCACTGAACTCCCCAGTTGAAGTTTTTTTGGAATGATTTCACTTCACTGAACTCCCCAGTTGAAGTTTTTTTGGAATGATTTCACTTCACTGAACTACCCAGTTTAAAGTTTTATTTGGAAGGGCTCCACTCCACTAAACTCCCCAGCTCATTTTTTTTGGAAGGACTTCACTCCACTGAACTCTCCAGTTCAAGTTTTGTTTAGACAGTTTCAAGACCAATGGCCTTTCAGATTGATAGTTTTTATTTTTTGAGAACACAGTTCAAAAATTCAAACTCTGTCTTCTCCCTTTATGAATGAACTTCTCTTGGATGAAATATTTTATTTAAACATTTTTTTATTGAAAAATGAAAAATGAAAAGTGATGAAAAGTGATGAAAAGTGATGAAATCATCACTTTTCATCACTTTTCATCACTTTTCATTTTTTGTGATTTTTGGATTCCAAATAGTTTTGGTTGTCAAAAAAAATGAAATTTGAATGATTTCTTTGGTAATAAAAATATTCCCTAAAACATTTTTCTTGATAATAAACATAAAAGTTGTTGGAAATAAATTGTTTTGAAATATATATACATATATATATATATTTTAAAAACAAACCATGAAACAAATTCACAAAAACACACATATATATAAGAATTATAAAACATATTTTGTGAAAATATATGATATTGTTTTTTTATTGTTTGGTTTTGTAAATAAATTGAAAAATAAAATATACAATTATACAATTATTATTGAAAAGTATTATATATTAGGGTTATCAAACAATGTGAAAATATAGAATATTGTTTACTTATTGTTTTGGTTTGTAAATTAATGAAAAAATAAAATATAAAATTATATATTCAATCAAACATGAATATGCCCTCTGAAAATTATTATTTTAATGTTGTATATATATTTTTTGATTTTCAAAATATTTTTTTAATAAAAAAAATGGCATGAATATGTAAAATGTATTTGGGAACAAAATATGAAAACACCGACACACATCTATGAAATAGATATAACATAAAAATGAAACATTAAAACAAAATGAAATCTTAAATGATTATAAAAACATAGATTATATAAATTGTTCCACAAAACCGATATACATGTCTGCCTCTGTAGCTGTTTTGGATTTGTCAGTTGTAGTTTCAGTAGCAAACCTTATAGGATGAAGAGGCCAGCTATGGCAATGAAAGCCTTGAAAAAGGTCAAGCAGAAAGGATCCTTGAAAAAGGACCAGGGAGGATCCTTGAAAAAGGACCAGGAAGGATCCTTGAAAAAGGACCAGACACTGAATAAGGGCAACTTGAAAAAGTTGGGGGGGCTAAGCCTGAAGGATAAAATCCTGAAGGCAGCTGAAGAGCACCCAGATAATGAGGAGACCCAAGCCCTGGTGCTTCAGGAATCCATGTCAGCTGTTGACAAAAGCAATGCATGGAACCAGCACCAAGTCCACTTGAAAAAGAAGGGCAATGAATCCTTGAAAAAGGAGTTCGATGAGATGGACAAGAAGGGCAAGGGGCTGAGCACTGCTTTGTTCTTGCTGAAGAAGAACAAAAGCTTGTTTGCCAGTGTCTCCAAGGGTGTCAGCCAGGAAGTCTCCTTGAAAAAGAGAGAGAAATGGCTGACCCAGAAGGAAGTGGATGCCAAGTGGACTGATCAGGAACTTGAAGTCCACTTGGCATCAGGTCGGCTGATCTACAGAGAAGCTGGCCACAATGTCTGGGAATACCAGGACACCCAGGACATTGAGAAGACTGTTGCAGGTAAGAGGCCCCTGCAATACCAGTTTGGGCAGGAGTATGAGCTGGAGGAAGTGGATGAGGCAGAGTGGTGCAAAATGTTGGAAAAGGATTTGCGCAGCATTTTGCTGGGAGGCCTTGAAAAAGGCAAAGGCTCTGCCAAGGGCTCTGGCCTTGAGAAAGGCAAAGGCAAAGGTAAAGCCAGGGCCAAGCCCAAGCCCCAGCCCCTTGAGGATGCTGATGAGGAGCCAATGGACCTGGCAACTGCCTTGAAAAAGGCAAAGAAGACCAGGGACATGCTCACCAGCACCTCCAGCAACTTTGAGGAAGCCTTGAAAAAGGTGGAAAAGAGCCCTTACCTGAGCAAGCAATCCTTCAAGGACAAGCAAGGTGTTCTGGATGGCCTCCATGAAATGGTGAAGAAAACCAAAAAACTCCTTGAAAAAGGATTAAAGAACAAAGTGGAGGTTCTGAAGGAGCACATCCTGGAGGCATGTGCTTGCATGAAGGATGCCAAGGAGGAAGCCAAAGAGCTTGTACAGATTAGCTTTAAAGCTGTGAGCAAGGCTGCTTCCTCCAAGGCCAAGAAATGATCCTTGAAAAAGGATCTAAGTCCTGGGACACCTTGAAAAAGGTATCTACATCCTTGAAAAAGGTTAATTCAGCCTGTAGAATAGCTGTGCTTTTGAAGCTTGTAGAAAAGCTGGTTTTTGAAAGGCAGTGAAAATCTGCCGATCATGAATCTACCATATGAGGCAAAGAAAAAAGTTGGAAGCTGCCCTGCATGAGTGGGGGTTAGGGCCACAGGGAAGCATTGCATGTCAGTGGTAGCTTTGTTTTGGCTCAAATAGTAGAGAAAAAAATAGGAAATTCCCCACCTGCCAGGTGAGGGTTGTTAGATTTTATGTCAGTTGCCTCCTCCTCCTCCTGCTCCTCCTCCTCCTCCGCCTCCTCCTGCCTCGTCCTCCTCTCCTCCTCCTCCTCGTCCTCCTTGTCATCCTTGTTGTCCTTGTCGTCCTCGTCGTCCTCGTCGTCCTCGTCGTCCTTGCTCAACTGCGACCCGCGATCCACAGTGTTCTCTGCCGGACCTCAACCACGACCACCCACGCCCAGTGTTCCCTGCCGGACCTCAACCACGACCATCCCCGCCCAGTGTTCCCTGCCGGACCTCAACCACGACCATCCACGCCCAGTGTTCCCTGCCGGACCTCAACCGCGAGTATCCACGCCCAGTGTTCCTTGCCGGACCTCAACCACGACCATCCCCGCCCAGTGTTCCCTGCCGGACCTCAACCACGACCATCCACGCCCAGTGTTCCCTGCCGGACCTCATGAGATATGCCAGATAGAATGCCAGAAGATATGCCAGATGGAATGTTAGATAGAATGCCAGAAGATATGCCAGATAAAATGCTATGAGATATGCCAGATAGAATGCCAGAAGGTATGCCAGATAAAATGTCAGATAGAATGACACAAGATATGCCAGATAGAATCCCAGAAGATTTGCCAGATAATATGCCAGAAGATATGCCAGATAGAATGCCAGAAGATATGCCAGAAGATATGCCAGAAGATATGCCAGAAGATATCCCAGAAGATATCCCAGATAGAATGCCAGAAGATATGTCAGAATATATGCCAGAAGATATGCCAGATAGAATGCCAGAAGATATGTCAGATAGAATGCCAGTAGATATGCCAGATAGAATGCCAGAAGATTTGCCAGATAGAATGCCAGAAGATATGTCAGATAGAATGCCAGAAGATTTGCCAGTAAGAAAATGTAAAAATGTCACGGTGGGGATCACACGAAGTAAAGTAATTTTGTTTTTTCACCCCTGCACCTTGAAAAAGGTTTGTCATACACCCCTTGAAAAAGGAGCTTTGACACACCCCTTGAAAAAGGAGGTTTGCAATGGCCAAGAGACTCAGGGGCTTTCACCTTGAAAAAGCCTTGCAAGCCCCAAAGAAGGTGCCTAAAAAGACAGTTGGTAGTGCATTGGCTACTGCTTTACTGTCTTTGTGGTGCCATGGCAAAGTGTCAGGTACTACCATGAGGTGGCTGGCTGAGAGTGCACTTCTGGATGGGGCACAGCATGATGAGCTTGTCAAAATTGCAAAATGTGGTTCCCATGGGCTTCACCCTGGTAACATACACAGGGATCTCATGGCAACCTTTTGCAAAGGCTTGGACATGCCAACCCCCTTTGAACTTGAAAAAGTTCCATGCAAAAAACCCAAGACCTTGAAAAAGGATGGGGACACAGCTGCCATGCTGCTGCCTCACCAGATGTTTGCCAAGCTTTTCACCTATAATGCCTTTGAAGTCATTTTCCCACTTGAAAAAGTGGAATCCTTTTGGAACCAAGCCCTTGAAAAAGGTGATGACAGGTTCAAAAACCACCCAGCCCTGGATGGCAGGATGTGGAAAAAACTACACTACCTCTGTTCTTGCATGGAGATGGTGTAGAATACCAGACTAGAGATAGTTTGATGATCTACTCTTGGGGGAGCCTGTTGCAACAAATGTCAAGCTTGTCTTCACATTTTTACATTGCATCCTTCCCCCAGAGCTGCACTGTGCCAGAGACATGGGACACCATGCAAGAATGGATCTGTTGGTCATTTGCAGCACTGCAAAATGGCTACCATCCATCTCATGATCCCTGGGGAAAACCTTTGAAAAAAGATTCCCCTTTTTTCCTTGAGAAAGGAAAACCTCTGGCAAAAGGACTTAAGGGTGTCCTTTGGTCCATACAGGGGGGCCATGAGTTTTTCTCAAACTCCCTGAAGTTACCACATTGGGCCAGCAAGAGCCCCTGTTGGGAATGCTCTTGCAGCAAAACCCTTGAAAAAGGGAAAAACATGTGGTACAAAACCCTTGAAAAAGGGAAGCAAGGCTGGAAAGTTTCATCCCATGAGGAGTGCTTGAAAAAGCCTAAAAGCACACATGCTTTGTTCTCTGGGGTGGTTCCAGGCTTGAGCACCAAAATGGTGAGGGGTGATTGCCTCCACATTTTGTTTTGCAAAGGTGTGCTGGGCCACCTTCTGGGATCTATCATTCACTATTTTCTTTATTATGATGGTGTTGGTGTTGCCCAGAAAGTGCCCCCTGAAAAGAGGCTAGGTACAATTTTTGAAGCTGTACAGAAAGAGTATGTCTTGAAAAAGATATCTCAAAGGGTGACAAACCTTCGACTCAGCATGGTTTGCAACCCCAAAGAGCCTCATAAGACCTTTGCTCAATTAGATTTAAAAGGCTCAGAAACCAAATGGTTTCTCCAAGCTTTTGCCCCAGTTCTGGCAGAGCTTGTGTCTCTTGAAAAAGAGCATGAAGCAGCCATGCTGGATGCTGTGAATGACATGGCAGCTCTCATTCATTTGTTTGATGAAGCTGATGTCTTCTTGACAAATGATGAGTGGCTACAGGCCATGGAGCTGGGAGACAGCTTTTCCACCCAGTACAGCCATCTCTCAGACTGGGCCCTTGAAAAAGGGAGAACCTTGTTTAACATTGTGATGAAACATCACACATTCCAACACTTGCTTGAGAATGCAAAGTTTTTAAATCCAAAAACCCACTGGACATTTAGTTCAGAGGATTTTGTTGGAAAAATGAGCATTCTCACAGCAAGTGTTAGTCCTGGGGTTAGCTCCACAAGGTTGAGCCTTAAGGTAGCTCCTAAATACAGGATCTTGCTTCACTTCTTGCTGAACAGAGAAGGGATGCAGGAAGCTGGTATGAACATTGATCCTTGAAAAAGGACACAGCTACATCCAGAACCTTGAGAAAGGATCACCCAAAACCTTGAGAAAGGATATCAGCAAGACCCAACACCTTGAAAAAGGTCATGCATGTGTACATATAGTATGCTTATTCTACAAGAAAAAATGCTGCTGCAGCAGGGAGATCTGGAAGTTGGGATAATGGATTTTGTATTGACTTTTTGATTTGTTTATTGATTTGTTTTGGCTTTTTTTGGTGATCTGATATTGATTTTTGAATGGAAACTTTGGCCTCCACAGATTGATTTTTTTTTGGAGAAATCAATTCAGAAATATTGATTTTTTATACAAATCAAAACTCTCAAAATTTATTGATTGTAATCAATATCCGATGCTCAGGGGACATGTTCCATCATTACAGCGTTGAATACATGATAGTACTTGAATTTGCTGATCGAGGGGCACCCATGGGCACCCCGAAAAAGGAAGCAACTTCTCAGCCTCCCCAAAATGGTGAGTTCTCTATTGGGAACAATATACACAGCTACACAATAACTGGCAGATTCGCAGATTAATTGCAAGACATTCAGTTTGGACTCTTACATGAGCATTGAACAAAACGACTACATCTGTTCCATGCATGGTCGCGCTGAGCCAAAAGGAGACCTCCGCTTTGAGCCAACTGTGCAGCTATCACTCCTTTGCTCTCACTCCTTCTTCCTCTGCATTGGTTCCCCTTTCTGGTCACATCACCCTCTCTCTTTCTCGTTTTTTTCGGGTGAAACCGCCGTTTTCGCGGAGCGGAGCATGAGTAAGCTCCTTCTGCGCGGTGGAACTACATCAGATTGCAACCTCTGCGGCTGGATGGCTCCTCTGCCTGCCATGTGCAGATGCCATCAATTGACCCAAACGACTTACACATATTTTTTTGGCATCATGTCCCCACGTATGCGAGGTGACATTCCTCCGCAAAATGAAGGTTTTTTTCGAACCGGCTGTTGCGTCAACTGCAGGTGCTTGGTTTGGCTGCGTCGTGCATGCCGTGGTCTCCTTTGTTGCGTACATGCTCAATGCCAGACAGAGAAAGATGCCAGACATGGTACAACAACAGCTGAAAACAACAACAACACAGACACCTTCTAACGCAAGGTCTGCCAGTGACTTAGGAATGGCTCAGAAAGGTTTCACGCTACGGATTGTCCGCCTGGTGTCTTGGTGAAAAGTTACTGTGGTTCAAATCCATCCTGATCCCATTTTGGACTAAATCTCTCCAAATCCCAGTTTCAAAATGTTTCAATGTCCCAAGTTCCGGTGATGATATCGTCACCGATTTTCGTCCAGGTTGTTTGCCCAAAAATCAACCATCTGGTTATTTAACATAGCCATGGAAAATCACCATTTTTAATACGTAAACCATGGTAAACAATCTATTTCTATGGGCCATCTATACCGTGGCTATGTTAAACAACCATAGGGTATCCCGGTGATTTGAAAAAAGCCAAGGCGCGTCTCATCAGCGTACAACTTGTCCAGACCTTCCGGTCGGATCACCTGGCGGCCGTGGCACCATGGCTGCCTCCCCATCATGAATGGTGATGAATAGGTGATTTATGTGATTTATAGTGATTTATAGCAATGAATGATGATGAATGGTGATGAATGGTGATTCACTGTGATTGGTGATGAATGGAATTCATACCCTGGTCAATAGTGGTTGATAATCATTGATAATCGTTGAGATTTGGAGGTACTGTACCATATAAAGCCATAGAACTTGGGGGAGCCCCTTACATAGCCCTTACATGGGCCTCATCCAGTGAGGAGGAAATATGACTGGGGTGTGATGACTTGACCAGGGTAGGTT